CGATACTTTTCTCTTGCATAATAATAAAATAGATGTTAAAGTCATTATCCTCAAATTCAATATGCCTCCAACCTTCTAGACGATGAAATAAGGAAAATGGAAAGTTCCTAATACAAGAATGGATACCTTGAAAAATGTGTCGAAGTATCAATGATGAGAACAGATATGAAGAAATGCTTGCAAAACTGTGAAGAACAAGCGCATAAACATGGATTTACCGCTTAAAAGAGAGGCAGCAACTTAACTTCTGGCATCGAAACTATGATAGAAAATAAAAAAAACATTCGCTGCTGCGAAATCATTTTTAAAATTCACCGCTCACTGTACAATTTTTACGCACTTGTAGAATAAGCTCTCAACTCTGGCCACTGAAATGTCGCATTTATAAATTTAACTGTCGATGTGGAGAAATTTACATGAGTAGAACGACTCGGCAGGTTCACCGTCACCTTCTGAAGCGTTCTACAGCGTGGTTAGTTAAGCCATGATTCCCATAGTGTCTTCCTTAGTGGATACCGACAACAAGATTGACAAAATTCACCTTCTACAATTGTATACAGGATACCACATCAACTTCCTTGGTTGGCACGTCTTAAATTGCTATGCAAAGGTAAGGCAGTAGCAGTAGTACCCAACCTCTGCATCCGGAGGAATTTTGTTCAATCTCTCTCCCTCGCTTGCTCTTATCTTCAGACATGAAATCTTTATCTCTTCCGGTGACACTGAATAACTGCAAATATTATCTTACTATATTTTTATTTTATTTATAATGCAATCTGTATTATCAGTATCATCCTAGGCTAAACTTTTACATTTTATTCCCGGTTTTAAAATTTATCGTGATTATTATATCACCTAATCGCAATGTGATAGCAGTTATTTCCGCCTCTACCCCTATTAGTATGCACAATCCAGTACTCAATGTTACGCAGATTATATAAACACGAATAAATTTATCCTTGTTATTATTATTATCACCTAGACTGTGATTCACTAATACAAATCTCTGAACTGTGATACTGTATTTTATTAACCACATTAATTCAACTGCCTATGACGAATATTTCATTATATAAATGTGAAGCCTGATGAGAATTTACCGTAAATATGTATTTCCTGAAATCGTGTTCCGCCATTATCATTATGAGAATTTCTAAATAGAGAATCATCAATATCATAATTAACTATAAGAGGGAATCTTTCATCTCAATGAATGATATGCTACTTACGGGGTAATTAGAAATTCTCAATGTAATCAACGCAGTGATGGTTAGTATTGCTAATCCTCCAGCCGAGTCCAGTGTTATGATGTTTACCATCTCACTTCTATTCTACATTTTGCATCCAATAATGCGTGCCTCCACAGACACTGTTATCACCAGAAAGCAGGCTAATAGGGTCCACCATTCCAAAGGATTCGTCAGAGTAGGTAATCCGAAGAACTCTAATTTAGTATGCAATTTGTGAAGAATATTTTTTAATTGTGAAATAATGACGATTTCGCCTGAGATGGATTTGCACTGTTAAGTGCAAAGAGCGAATGCCATGGAAGCATGTAACTCTGAAAAGGTCGTATTTCCTAGCAAAATAATTATTATAATAAAAAGAAATATATGAAGACATCAGAGAGAAAACCTAAGACTTTGACTGCACGTAAAAAGCCTCTATTTATTAAGTTTAAATTAAATGGTGACTTATCTAGTAAGACATTGTTCCAGAGACTTTCCAGGAGTATACGGAGAACGTTTTACGCAGCATACTTATGTTTGTCATTCTCCAGGCGACGAATGAATGGCACGCAAACGAAGGATAAGGTAGATAGCTTTGACACATCTATGTGCATTTATCAATTCAACTGCATCTGCGGCGACAGTTATGTTGGGCGTACTACTAGACAGCTTAGCAAGTGTGCTAGAGAACATCTCCTATCGTGGTTTGGCAAAAGACGGACAAAAACAATCCTTAGCTCAATTCTGTCACATTTAATTGATAGTGGTCATGTAATGGACAAAACGAAAGCTTTCAAAGTAATTCATCATCTTGCACCGAATCTTTCCAATAGGCTTCGTTTCTGTCTACTGTGCACAGCTGAGGCGGTAAGCATTCGAACTATTAAACCTAAACTATGCATTCAAAAGAAGTCCGTGCAGCCATTATCCCTCCATTGTTGGCCTATGAAGAAGTAATCAACTAAAGACTTCAACATCACCCCTTGTTTATATTTTCAACCCCTTTCTCATCATCCCTTAATCTTATCACATTAAAAATGTGTCTCATTTACTTCTCTTACAATTAGTCTAGCATTACGTACTGGCCTTTATCGACTACTTCCACCTGAACAATTGCTTATTTAATCATGCTGTTTTCCATTATTCGTGTTATCACAGATTGACTCGCCTTTTTCATCCTTATTATTGATATAACCGTTATTATTATTAATATTATTATCATTACTACTATTATGATTAATTGGACAATTTATATTCACCATCTTATTATTCTATAGACAGAACACCATGATTGGTATATATATGAATTTCATTTGTAAACCTATGTATATTAGAGTTATGCCTGATGAGATCTAATTGAAAGCAACAAATCTGTTCGTTTTAATGTGTAGTTCTAAATATTATAATTGCGACCGATATCTTTCGACTCATGGTCTCATTAAACCACTATTTTCGAAAGCATGGTAGAGGTAAAATGATGCAGAAAACCTAGTGAAACACAAGAGAAGGCCTTCATCACTCAGTGAATCAAAGAAACCTTAGAAATCAATTCCTCGACACACACTTCTAGACAACTTAAACATCTACCACATCCGAGCTGCCATAGGGATTCCGGGTAACCACGTCCCCTAAAATATCCTTAATTGGGAAATTTCGTGGTGTTACTCATAAACATAATGATGTTTCTGACTCATGTACTAAGTTGGAAAACTCAAACAATGTGCCCGACGAATTTTTGAAGATTCGTATTGCACAATATGTGTTTAAAAGTACATAATACAAATTTGGGCTCGTTGTCAACGTTTAACTTAGACCAAGCGGAATGAAGGCCTAATTATCTGGGGATCTCTCTTGATTGTTTTTAAAGGAATAAACACTAGTGTGCTCATCCGGCAAATTTCACTGAAGAAGACAAGTGAAATTAAAGGACAAATCAAGGGTATCGACAATCAATGAAGCACGTATGTTATACTTTCAATAATGCATGCAAGAATATGGTATTGACCGCAATAATACCGCCTAAATATTTCATACCTAAGAGGTTCTGGTTAATCGATAATAACCCACCTTTAAACTATGCTGCTATCCAGCTAGCAACTTTGCAATAATCAATATCATCGTTTTGTTTAATTTTTCGGAATTACCCTTGACAACTTTTCGTGAGCATTTTCCAGATTTATTATTCAATCAATCCCCATTACTTTCTAGTATCCCTAAAGAGGTGTAGACGAGATCTGGATATTATGTTTACTAAAACCGTGACAACTATTCAAAAGAAACTTGAGGCGAATTACCCAACCTCATAAGCGACTTGTTTGCGATGGATCTCTCATACATTACTTGCAGAAACTGTTATATCGCAGCCCGCCACCTTTTATCCTTTGAAACTTTAAACTTCCAAGTTACACAAAGGATAATGTTGGGAATGAAAAGTCACGCAAGTAATATATGTATTGTAGGAATGGGACTGAAGCCATCAAATGGTCTCTATTTGGTGAGGAGGGTAAGTTCAATTTATAAAATAATCAATCGTTAGTTATATCTCGTGAAAGTCCACTTGATTAACTATTACTGAAATTCTCATATCGACCATAAAAATCAAACAAATTTTATGTGATTTTGTGTCACGATCAAGGTTCAAGTATTCTTAACAAAAAACACAAACCAAAATATTAACTAACCAATACTATATAAATGTTCATTGATCCGTTTATTCATTAGAATACGAAGATTAAAAGAGAGATAAGTGAGTTGTGAGCGACAGTTTTAATGTCAGTTTCAGTGTTTTAGTGAGTGAGATTCGCATCTTCGAAATCTTGATTCATACTGCTTATTATATAGTTGTGTAGATATGTGTGTGAAATGATCTAATCCAAATATACACCATTGATTCTGATTTGTGTTGGTTTTCTTTGGTTCGTTATCTTAACCATCTACAGCACTCCTGCATCCAGTCTAAGTCCTGTCTTGCATTTTACTTTATTGTTTTGGTGAAAATCAGCTTCAGATAACTTCATTGTTTATCCATTCAGGTTTCCGCAGTGATACCGCATGGTGTCTCTCAAATTAGTACGATAACAAAGGTTAAGATGTCGTACGTAGTTTCATCCTTTCGCTATCTTAATGACTAATTTAGTTTTGGTATGTCTGCCGTTATTCTGAAGTTTTTCAGCTTGTCCTTGATGGGCCCTAGAACCGACAAATGATCTGCATCCTAATATACACGCATTTTGAATCTGTGTCAAGCATACTGCGTCTTCATACCATTCAGGTTAATCGTATCTGTTTTTGGTGTGTCTGTCAGATGATATTTATGTCGTCTTGTATATATCATTTTGCTTGTGCGCACTACTTCCAGTCAGCAAATAACTGAAAGCTCAGAATTCCCTGAAGCGTTCTCCATTGTCATTCATTTCTCTGAACTCTGCTTTATCTATGGCTTGGCATTTATATCGCGTTCTAAGATTGTGATATCTCCATTTGAATGTCATCATTTTCTGTTTGTTGTCATTTTTCTTTTTCAAATCTTTAAATATTCCCATTTATAATATTAGAACAAGACATATAAGCGAACAATATTGTTTTCAATTAGATCTTCTTCAGGCTTTACTCTAATTTACATAGACTTATATATATAAAATTTTAACCAATGACGGTGATTTAGTGGATCAAATAATAATAGTAATCATAATAATACAAATAATAATAATAGTATTATTATTGCGTTGTTTGCCGTGCTACTTGGCGTGTCTCTTTCCTCGTGTTGTCAAAATGCTTAGCGATAAGGAACATATCAATATTGTCGTCATTGGACATGTAGACAGTGGGAAGTCTACCACTACTGGGCATCTTATCTACAAATGCGGTGGCATTGATAAGCGCACCATAGAAAAGTATGAGAAAGAAGCTGCTGAGATGGGCAAGGGGTCTTTCAAGTATGCTTGGGTGTTGGACAAGCTGAAGGCTGAGCGTGAACGTGGCATTACAATCGACATTGCTTTGTGGAAGTTCGAGACTCCCCGATACTCCGTTACAGTTATTGATGCCCCGGGGCATCGTGACTTCATCAAGAACATGATCACAGGTACTAGTCAGGCCGATTGTGCTGTTCTGGTTGTTGCTGCTGGTGTTGGTGAATTCGAAGCTGGTATCTCAAAGAACGGTCAAACCAGAGAACACGCCCTGTTAGCTTACACTTTGGGTGTTAAACAGTTGATCGTGGCAATCAACAAGATGGATTCTACAGAGCCACCGTATTCTGAAGCTCGTTACCAAGAAATCAAGAAGGATGTGTCCGACTTCATCAAGAGAGTTGGGTACAATCCAGCTGGAGTTCCATTCGTTCCAATCTCTGGTTGGGTTGGGGACAACATGATTGAAAGGAGCACAAATATGCCGTGGTACAAAGGCTGGGATTTGACAAGGGGAAAGGAGGGAAAGACCGAGACTGGTTACACTCTTCTGGATGCTCTCGATAAGATGGAATCACCCAACAAGACCTACAGACAAACCCCTCAGACTGCCATTACAAGATGTATACAAAATCGGTGGTATTGGCACCGTCCCTGTTGGTCGTGTGGAAACCGGCATTATCAGGCCCGGTATGGTTGTCACATTCGCTCCTCAAAACTTGACAACTGAAGTCAAGTCAGTTGAAATGCATCATGAAGCTCTCACTGAAGCTTTCCTCGGTGACAACGTTGGGTTCAACGTGAATAACGTGTCCACTAAAGATATACATCGTGGCAATGTTGCTGGATATTCAAAGAATGACCCACCGAAAGAGGCTGCGAGCTTTACCGCCCAAGTCATTGTCATGAACCAACCCGGTGAGATCAAGAATGGCTACTCACCTGTCCTTGATTGTCACACTGCACACGTCGCATGTAAATTCCACGAAATAGTATTATTATTATTTGTATTATTATGATTACTATTATTATTTGATCCACTAAATCACCATCATTGGTTAAAATTTTATATATATAAGTCTATGTAAATTAGAGTAAAGCCTGAAGAAGATCTAATTGAAAACAATATTGTTCGCTTATATGTCTTGTTCTAATTTTCCTTTTTCGTCTGTTATTAGTTATTAGTAAATTTGTAAGACTGAATAATTGTAACCTTCCTTCGTTTATGTCGGATCTTGCTGTTGTAATTCTGGAGGAGATTGGTCTCCAGTGCATTGAATCTTTGTATAGTATTGTTGAAGCCATTATAGCCACGCAATCAGTATGCCCGTGGTTTTAATGTGAGTGACCAGAGTAGAATTTCCAACTGATAATACCAGATACTCAAGCTAATCCCTCAACCAACACTGAAAGCAAATAAAAGTGATAGATATTAGACAATAAAGGCGCATAGATCAGCAAAAGATTGCCACGTGGAAACAGAAATTATTTTTACAATGATTATATTTTCAAAGTATTTTGCTTTCTTCATCATTTTATAGATCACATAATGTCGAACCAAACTGTGCAATTCCCCCGTTTGAAAATTTCAAGTCTAGGTTTCAGGCCAGGCAGCCTTTTCCACTTCTTCATATGGGTGAGACGTTGCCGTCTTTAGCTAAACATGCCTCACATAGATGATAATCGACACACTGTTGATGCTTCTAGTGACAGCGACCATGGTTGTAATGGTGAACACAGTGTAAGACCGAATTTCCTCATCACCTTGATAGACTAATTCAACCCTTTGTACAGTGCCGGACTTTCTGAATGGGTTAAAAAATACAGCTGGCTGACACTTCTCCTTATGTAAGTCACTTTTATAATGTTTCTATCAAATATGTTTATGTGCGTCCAGTGCATTTTGTTAGCTTTACATCGTAGGTTTTATGGCTAACCAGTCCACCACCAATGGATTCTATGAATAAGACTTTCTTGCAGACATTTTATTTCGTTGAAATGACATTATTCATCTCTCTGCATATTGAATAAAGGAAGTATTAGAAACAAAGAATATCGAAATATTGTAAAATTCATTGATATGGTTAAATCCGCGTTCACCTGTATGTGGTCGGATATCTATTCACGTTCATGATATTGCAACAACGTCACGCTATTTGACTTCTGAATAATATGTTCTGAAAATATGAAAGACTCCTGTGGACATGAATGCTGGGGCAACACCCCACGAGTATATACCCCTTCTTAACAATGTTATCCTAAATTTTAAAGAGGACACTTTAGACACAACGCTGATTAATTCGTCTACGAAAATTGATCATTTCAGACTAGTTGGAGCACTTCCAGTCCTGGTCCTCGCATTGCTCAAACTACTCGGATATCACCGCGACATTGATCACTTTCTCATAGTATTCAGTGTAAGTATTTTAATTCTTCGATTTTACTTATATTAATGGGTTACACACAAAAGTTATATACCTGTCACTCATGTCATTTCATAAAAATTTTTTTATTAGATATATCACAAATTGAAACAGTAACATTTACTGCATCACGTGTCGAACACAACTCATAATACATAATCAGATTACTCCTATTACATGCATCATCATTTGATTTGATATACACAGCTTCAGTGATCTATCTCTAAGTTCGCCATGTTATGTTCCATTCCCAGAATATCATCTTAACAAAGCACACTGTTAGATTTTGTGTAATCGCGGGTAGCACAATAGTTGAACGTATTGTGGATTCCGTGTCTTATTCAAGTCCTCTAGGCTAGGTTTCGCCAAGTCTGTTTCCTCCGAGCGCATCACTGACCTCGTTCTCTTCTGTTGAACTAAGTATGTGATTTGACAATCACTACAGCGTATTATATTAACTAAATCTTTTTGTTAACTGACTTCACAGGATCTGTCAAGCGACAAGGTTACTTTCTGAATGAATGTTCAGGTTTGAATGTCTTTTTATTCCTGCAAGGATTTTCAAGGTTTCTTGGAAGTAGTAGTGATTCAAATCCTCTGCATATGTCTCATGTGTGTTTTCATTTTTATTACTATTATCATCACTATCACGACGATTATTATTATTAATCATTTTAAAACATCTAAACTCATATATCACGACGTCACACATACAAAACATTGAAGCAAATCAGCATACCTATGTTAATGTGTTTGCGTGTGTGAATTAGAGCAATATGCTGTATGAATTGAAAGTCTAATTCACACATTTTTGAAGATCTCAAAGACAATACGCCTATTGACATTTTTTGAATGCAGTCTATCATGCAACTAGGAGAATGCGAAAAAATGCTATGAGACACATGTAACCTTGATATTTTGAGTGACTCAACAGCATACTTTCCACTCTCGGTCGCCTACGCATTTACTCAACTGTTATTTCTCAATATTTTTAGAGTTCACACTCAGGCACAGAAAGTAAGACAAGCTTTAGAGCCATTTGAACAGTATCACAGGTATAAGAATCCAAATCTAGTACTTATTAAAATTTTGTGTATAAACAACTTCACAGAATGCTTAAAGAGAGCGAATATACAATTGAGGAATAGCATAATTGTCTTGATGCCTAAAATCATACGAAACTGATGTGGATATTTCAACTTCGACATTATTAGAACAGGTTTTGAATATCAGAACCTATATCTAATGATTTTCGAAAGCAGAGAAACAGGAAGACAGCTCATGGTTCCTCCTAGTGAAGATATTTTCAGAACATTTACATTTTTAGTGAGGACCTTATTCAGTGTCAACGCATATACCACAATTGCTTTTCTGTAGATCTAGATATATGTATATATCTCAGAATGCAGCATTTAAGCCATAAAGTTGTGATGAATGTAATGGCCATGTTTATGTCGTACTTTCATGTGACCACGAATGCACCATATCAAGGTTGTAAGGAGAAACACAGTTTCGCTCAGTAAAGAAATAAAGTTTTGTCCAATGACTTGATTTTTAGGCTATGGAGTCAGTAAATCAACTTTTTCAGCTTGTCTTTTGCTCTGCTTTATAGCGTAACATATGTGCTTCTCAATTCCGACGATGAGTGGAATTCCGAATTTCACTTCTTTGATGTTAACCTAAATTGAAGACATGTACAGAAAACCGAAGTCTACAGGACAGTTCTCTGACTTCAACAGGTACTTAGCACTAGGTAGAAACATAAATCTTATTCATCCTCTACATTTCAGAATTAGAGAAATATGCACCTTAGATATAATCGATAAAGAACTAATAAACCATAGCACGACTCTCATAAGTTCCGTATATCCAGTGAGGTTTATTGACAAAAACATCAGGAATGAAGCCATCCTCAGCATAATTACAGTGCTGATGAAGACACTGTTAGTGTGGTTGGCGTTAAAAGAGGGCTTAGTTGCTGAAATGAGTAAAACTCTGACATCTGAATGAATTGAACACTCTTTTATCCAGCTGAGTTATATTTGGTATTCACCAGTCCAAGTATTAATCGACAATGCGTCAAGTAAAAACAAGCTCTGATTTTCATCTCTGTTTCCATGTTCTTTTTCACATATTCATGTGGAGCTACTCAATTTGTCGTTACGTGTCCTTCATGGACGCCTAGCCGAAAACTACTCGTTTTACTTAATAAAAGGCAGCCACTGGATGATGAACTCTGAACTGAGGTCACTTAGGGACACGTGACTTATTTTTCCAGGTTACGTTAACGGCCAAATTCAACCACTCTGATAGCTTACTTTTCCTCTTCTTGTGCATATCGGAAACTCTGGCTGTATACAAACACCTTCCTTCAACTTGATCATAGTAAGGTCCTTTTATTTTATTATACTTTAACACTTCAGTTCGTTTATTTTTACTTCGCATACTCCGAATTCCTTTTATCCTCATCATACTCTTGAGTTTCAGAGAGCACTTGATGTGCTAACAAAATCGCAATACGAATTCACCTATTTAATAATGTTTGAACTGTGTGTAATTCGTCTACATCAACTCTTCCTCCCTGATACATCATTTCTAGTATTTTATTGCTAACCATATGTTTTTTGACTAAACAGTTTCTAGTGGCACCATAATACAAATACGACTGAAAAGACTGAAAATGAAGTCATTCAAAGGAGAGTTTCTCCACTGAACGAAACTGTCTTATCCTGTATTCAGGTTAGGAAAAGTTTAGTTGCAACAAAGAAAAGTCAAAGATGTAAATGAGATACTTAACTCATACCTCAACAAGGTAGTAAAATTTAATAATACAACCTCCATAATCAACAAATATTTCCCTATGTATATGTAACTCATTTGCATAATTTACCAGTTTAACCTCTTTCTTTCATTTTAGTTCGTACTATGTTCGATGGGTTTTGCCACCAGGTTAACTAATGCTGATTGGGTGCTTGCTTTGGCAGCAATTGGTTCAACAGTTGCATTGACTGCAGTTGTGGTCCTTCTGGCTCTGTATTTCAAACAGATAGATTTTCGAATAACCATCACACTTTTCTCACTTTTATATGCTTTTGTCCTTATTGGAATTATTTTGTTCATTATTGAATTCACAACAAATGGAGCAGAGGAAAAAGTCAAACAAGTGAGCTGTTTCACATCTTTTGAAACGCTTGACTTGATTTATAACATTTTCATGGAAAGTGAGATGCTGTCTTACTGATATCAAATATATATATAAAGAAATATCTCACAGGAAGATAAGTAATGATACTTTACGAATGCACCACAGATATATATTACTTACTGTAAGATTATTGAATGTTATCTATGAGACGAGTGTATTACACTTCTACTCTTTTATATTTTCCTGTTAAAATCATCTTCGCACTACGTGATTTTAATCACCGCAACTAATTAGATATTGTTAGGCCGTTTATGATTATCGATAATGGTAATCTGTCAGACAACTTACAATAGATTACAACGTTAGCCTTACAGAAATATCTGAAACACAATAAGATAAAGTTGTGAAGTGTTATTTGAGCTGAATGTCTTTGCAGAATAGGTTATGACCAAATCATTTTGAGAACGCGTTTGCTGAAAGCATTAGCCATACTCATGTATTCAGATTTGATTCATTAATACATTCATCAATCAGATGTAAGTTTTAAGATGCGAAAACCTTAAACTTTGATTTATTTCATGTTTTCAGAAGGCATTGAAGATTTCTGTTGGGATTTGCTTCATAGTCGCCATGGTGCTAGTAAGTTTCACTTGAAAATATTCACAGAAAAATTAACGTGCGAATGCAGTGCATCTATGACTAAACTTACAGGTATTTATCAACTTTCTCTTAAGGAAGGACTGTTTTCAATGTGATTGAAGTAGAATTAACCTCGTTTTGTTTTCTGAATAGTCCACGTATGCAGTGAAGTTGAAAATTTGTGAACTGTTCTGTCGTTATATCGTGAAATTCATGAGTGTGAATATGTTTGCGTAACACATCAGTGATGTATAATACAAAATACGTTTTCCTTAGATCTTCACAACACTATATGTACTCGCAAATTATTATTGCATGAGTCAATCATTCAATGTACAGAGAAAGTACAAATAATTATTGAGGTGATAAACCATATTGCATTGTTACTTCAAATAAGGCTGATTTTGAATCAGAATTAGTGAGCAGGAAATCAACATCACGTTGTCTGTTGATTTCTGAAATCTACTCATGGCAACTGGACTGAAAGAAAATGGATGTTTTCAGTATATTCATTATATGATTGCCACTTTCATATTGCATATCAAGTAATGATGAAAGAATTTCCCTAATAGATGCACCTTCAGTTTACTTTTATGATATGTAGGTTAATCATACCAAAAACGTGTCAGTCAGTCCACTGTTGTAGTATAAATAATCCTCTTTTAACCAAACCTGATAACTGACATGATACTGCTTTATTTTCTCACATTACAGGCTATTTTCTTGACAGTGAATAGGCTGAGATTTTGCATTGCATTTAAAGACGTGTATTGCACAATAATATTTCGAGCATTTTGTTTGTGGTTGGAAATGATCATAATGTTTGCTGCAATATATGGTCCATTTTATGATCGTGAAAGAGCTTTATAAAATGCATGATGGCATCCAAATTCCCATACTTGTTGTAATGTGTCATTTCCGATAAATAAATATTCATGAATTTGAATGACTTCAAGTTTTTATTCAGTTACATAGTATGGAAAACGTCAAGATGGTGTGTCTAAAATGTCTTCAAAGTTGAACACTTAGTCGATTTGTCAATCCAAAACACGATAAATATGAAGTTCAGTCAACCGAAGGATGAAGAGAAAATGAGTAGAATGTATAAATTAAGTTTCATAACTGAAGCGACTTTTCGTATATGTACTCCTTTGAAGTATGCTGTATATTACGTAGATGTCGTAAGATGACACAGCAGCTTTCCATGAACTTCGAAGATATTCAGCACACTTCAAAGTTGTCATGAGATGTGTAGTAATTGTGGTGGGTTTTTAACTTCAACTTTAACAATACAGGTGCCTCATAGAAAATGATAACTGATGTAATCTGTTATTTTCACAGTCAGTGATATAAAGAAAGTAAAACGTCGGACTCCGAAGGTTATTGATCTCACCATTAAACATTACATTCACCCGTAAAATCTTGCATGATTTATTCGCATTTGAAGTAAAACTTCCGAGTTGAGTGTTCAGGGAAGTATTGAACAAGCACTATAACCCTCTTTGAAAATTAAAACATCGTTAAAGACGCCAGAGTTGACGTTTCTCACTGGGGTTACATGAGAGCGATGACCTGAACCATAATGTCACTTAGTGAACTTTTCATCACCTTTTCCATCCAACTTCAATTTTTTTCGGCATTTTGTTGATCAGTAGATTCTTCATTCGTCACATGCCAATGTTCATAGTCGCTAATTATCTCAAATCGCTTCCTTATTTAAAAATGCAGGCAAGCGCATAAGTCATATACTCAAACAATTTGTCTTACTGACAGGTCACTAAGACTGGTATATCTTAGATCTCACTTTTGCATTTATGCCCATAAATGCTTTTCATGGGGACAACCAATCGATGGCCAGGTGATCAGTGTAAATAAATGTTCTGAAGGCTATTGCCAGAATCGGTTCTTTTACTTCGTTGACTATATTGCGATGGATCAAAAGTCAATCTGAACGAAGAATATTCTTTCCAATAATTTCTATTCAAATTCTTACATTACAAAAATATAATATTTGTTGTCGTTACAATAAAGGCCAATTACGCCACAGATATTTTTTTAACGTAGAATAACAGATTACTTATGAGGTGTCAAAATAAATAGTCGTATTTTTGTAACAAACATGCTAGTATGAAATCGATTACAAAATATTGTAAAATGGTAACAATGGCGGTGATTATCATAATAGATTTGTAGAGTGTGGGGTAGGAAAATTGACAAATCAGTTCAAGGTTAGAAAAGGTGTCAGATGAGTGGAGTGGCTAGTACAAAGTGGTCTGTGTTAAACAGGAGATAGTAAGACTGCAATGAGACGTTCATAATGAAATAACGAATATGTGAAATGAAACAGGTGGAGGCATATATTGAGAAAACAGATAATATCGTTAATAATAAGTCCGGATAGTCTAAATGAAAAATTCGACAGTATTGAGGGAATCGTTACATGAAGGGCATAAATTATGACGAATAATAATTGTAATAATAATATTTGTAATGATAAGCAAAGTAAAAAAGAACAAGAGGGTTAAGGGAAGGAGCACTCTTGGTGAGAAGAAGAACCACCAATCCAAGTTTGACCACGGTAGGAACAGCGTCTGAACGTGTTCTTTTTGGATACAAACTTCCGGTTTAGTCAATCATACTGCAATATTTTCAGCTATATGTATGAGACATAGGTGAACTGTACGTGATAACGACTTCGAAAGCTGCGTTGACATGGACACGATGTCCACTATCGACCAAGTGTGACAAGATCGAGCTTTTAGTGCACTTAATTTCCCCTCTGCTGAATCAAGCTGAAAAGTGTTCTCAAACCCGTAGACTAACCTGCATCAACGTGAGCCCTATAAAACTTGAACAACGGGAACAGTTGAAATGATATATGCATGAAGAAGAGCTAAGGTTAGGTAAGACATCTTTGAACTGCTGGGTGAACATTGGACGGCAACTGTAGGATAGACAGAGACGTGCAAAGTAGAAATTTTTTTTGATCACCCTCGTTAAACGTTACGATAGAATATCCGCAGGACTATTTCCCTTGAATTGGATACGTAAATACAGAGGCTTTTTCTCCACCGTTGACAGTTCATGTTTACGACTATTGTAACCTATGTTGGCTTTAATGAACTTCTCTAAATATCGCTTCTCACTTAGAATGTCTCGGATGACCTGGAGTTCTGTCTTTACGCAGTCTTCGAAACAAATAGACCTCGCTTTAAATGCTAAGCACTTGATTAGATTACGTTTGTATTTCATCGGTACGAAGCTAAGAAAGTGTGTATACTGAGCTTTGTTCTCTAACCTTCTAAATATGGTTCTTCTAACGGAACCATCCTCTCTTCTCATTACTAGGACGTCGAGGAAGCGTGGAGAGTCGTTGTATCCTCCTTTGTAGGTGAAATGGACCATTGTGTGAGCATTATTGAAGTTACTGAAAAGCAGATCACTACTTAGCCCTTTATCGCACACTACAAAATTATCATACATGTAACGACAATACAATTCAATTTTTGCTATTTCCTCTTTCAACGGACTACTTTCTAGTTTTGCTAGAAATATGTTCGCCAAAATAGGTCCCAGTGGGGATCCCATGGCTACTCAATCAACCTGTGTGTACATTTCATTATTAAACCAGAACTGGACATTTGTTGTGCATTTAACAAGTAGTTGTTTCAGATTACTGATAGGAATATCAGTGCAAAATTTCTTTTCTATTATCTGTTTGCAGATATATTCGATGGTTTCCACTAGATGCACATTAGTGAATACAGATGAAACATCAAATGATGGCATGTATTAGCCAGTAGCAAAATTTGCAATCATCATGTGCATCGTATTACTTTAAAGCAACTCAATGATTTCCTGAAGTTCAACGTGTGACCCTCCGAATGAAGAATATGTATCGAATTGATAAATTATTGTATCTACAAAAATTGATATCCCTAACTCTGTTAGACATTATTACGTAAAAGCAGAATAACACAATGTAAAATGAATTTAAAACGAAATGCACTTAATCAGCTCGAATTAAACCAGTCAGGGGACAGAATCTAAGGTGTGAATACATGAAATATTCATACTTTGAAATGCAATCAAAATACCCGTGATCATAATCACGGTTAAATATCAACTGACAAAACAATTATTGTCATATACAGAACAGTTCATAAGATGTTTAGGTGTTGGAAAGGAGTGCATAACTATAGTGTGAGTAGGCTAATATAAAACATCAATTGACATGGTGTGAAATTTGAAAACATTGCCTTCAACATTGTAAAATAATTTTCGGATTCATATAACAAGTGTGACAGATGTAAACGATTCAAAATGAGAATGGTTACAATAATAATAGTAATAACAATAGAAATGATAATCGTAATAAGGAGTGAAACGTTTGCATTCAACAACTCTACTCCTCCTTTACAATTCCCTTTAGAAAAATAATCTGAAGCAAACTTACTCTTTCTTGATGTGTGCCTTATTAAACGCAATAACGAATCTCTCGAACAATCCATCACCTGAAAATGTACATAGAATGGATAAATAACTAACTGTAGTCGGTTGCCTTATCTCAGTAAAAGGAACTGAAGTCGTTCTGTCTGCTTGAGAATAAGAAAAATGTATAGCCCTGATTGAGTTGACTCGGAACTTGAATTACTAAAAGCCGTTCTAGCAGAAAGCTGTTACACCAACTCAGTCATTGACAGAATTACGAAAGAGCAGCACTTTAAACCAGTAACTCAGTCGTTTTCGAAGAAAATCATAGTCATGAACTGGGAACTAAGAGGTGATCAAACCACAGATATGCTCAAAATGATCTTCTCGAATCAATCTGTGAAACGTTCTTTGCTTCGAAATTACAAATGGAATTCACTAGCCGTAAGTGTTCTCCACTTTTTTGAGAGATACTCTCTTTCGTTCATCTGCCTCCATTTACATCTATCAAGTTAACCTGCTCTTGTGAAGCAAGGCACATTGGCCGTAGCATCAGAACGTTCTCCACACGGATGATATTACACATTTCAGTATGGCTTTACAAGGGAGAAAAGAAAAGTGTTCGTAGCTCTATTCTACAATACATTTGGTTGAAACCTGTCACTCTATCAACCCTGAACCCTGTTGAAAGATCGCCTATAGAATCCATGCTTGATGCTGCGTTTCTTTCGACATAAACTAATGGATTCTCTAGAAACCTTGACCATTCATGCATTTAAGCCAGTAATGCCTGTAAAAACGACTGATGTACATTTCTTACTTCTGCCTTGTCCGTAGAATGATGAACATTTATTTATTTTGCCCATTTACTCAATGTAAGTACCTTTCACTCCTTACTACGCTTATCATTTCTATTATTATTACTGCTATTATTATTGTAACCATTCTCACTCTGGATCGTTTACAGTTGTCACACTTGTCATATTTAACTCGAAAATACTCAACATTGTTGAATGCAATCTTATCACATTTCACACCATGTCAAGTGATGTTTTATATTAGCCTACTCACACTATAGTTATGCACTCCTTTCCAACACCTAAACATCTTATGAACTGTTCTGTATATGACAATAATTGTTTTGTCAGTTGATATTTAACCGTGATTATGATCACGGGTATTTTGATTGCATTTCATAGTATGAATATTTCATGTATTCACACCTTAGATTCAGTTCCCTGATTGGATTATATATGTATATATATATATATATATATATATATATATATAGTATGTTTATTCATAT